GCTTGGTGTGTGTGTGTGTGTGTGTGTGTGGATATGTGTGTGTGTGGATATGTGTGTGTGTGGATATGTGTGTGTGTGGATATGTGTGTGTGGATATGTGTGTGTGTGGATGTGTGTGTGTATGTGTGAGCGCGTGCGTGCGTGTGTGCGTGTGTGCGTGTTACCTGAGCACAGGACTCCTCTGGCGTCTTACAACTGACGGAGTAGAGCGTGGGCAAATCCAGGCGGTGCACCGGCAGTTTTGTCTAGGTGGTGCAGCAAGGCGGGGGCCAGGTGGGAGCTCTGTCCTGAGCCCGAGGCCCCGGCCAGCATCAGACGAGGCCGGTATGCTGTGGGCTGTTGGAGGGCGGAGCTAGAAGCAGGAGAGAGTTCAAGTTTTGATCACTGGGCAGCAGTCATACTGTCATTCAAACGACATTGGCACACTATTGCTTCAGTTCAATCCTGTTCATTTCCTTCAGAAGTTGACATTGCAGTGTAAATCTACACTTGACACTAACTGCAAAACCCTGAAACCCTTCAATTGAAATGCCTATTTATTGTAAATGGCATTCGAACACTGTTGCAGTTAAACTGGAATGTTCTAATATTGTCAACATATGCTGAATATGTAGACATTATAACATTCCAGATAGCTTCACATATTGTGTAATGTCAGTTTGAAAGATTTTAAGGACAAAATAGAGTTTTTCTGACGAAAATAAGAGCACAATAACGATCTTAAGAACAACATTAAACTCATCATGTCTGAGTAAAAGCAACCCTGTATCCGAATGAAGCACCACTGTGGCACATGTGTTAAAATAACTAATTCTCTTATATAGAAACAGAGCCTACAGGCATTACACGGTTAAGTTTAGGAACCATCCAATAAAGCCTTTAAATATCTAAATACATTGCAATGAGGGTTTTCTCCTTATACATCACTGCAGTAAAAAGTGAATCCTTAGGTACTGGAGGAATTGTCTCCTCTGATCTCTTCACTTTAAAGCTCTTCTCTTATCTTGCTTGTTTTCCTCCAAAGCCGAGGATTTTGTACAGGTGCCGACTGTGAAGCCTAGCTTAATCGTCTTATATGCAGTCCCCATTTTTGATGATTGTATAATATGTTACATCTTAGTCAAGAGGTTTCCTTTTACTAAGTATACTTCCGAGGCAAACTATTATTCCCCAACTACACAATAAAATAACCTCACTACAGTCCCCGTTTGAAAATAAATACATGTTCCGTGTCTGTTTCAATTCAAATCTATAACATTTAATCACTTTCAATCTCATATAGTGCTATATTAAAATACATTTTTTAAATGTTTTATTTCCAAGTGTTTATGTTCTATAAATACACAAAATATATTTGTTTTCTATGGACTCACAAGGAGAAGTGGAGGAAGGGTGTGTGCGTTGCAGAAGAGGAGAGCTGAGTCTTTGGGGATGCAGCAGGCTGGACTTCATAGATGGAAGCGGAGCGTTGCTCATTGTCATCGTCGCTGTAGTCCTCTTCGAGCAGATGATTATCACCGCCTAGAACAAAGAGATTATTCAGCCATGTCTGTTGCAACTCACTTGGCCTCATCACAACAGCGCTAATGCACTTAAAAGTTTGTATCTGCAAAGTCTAATCCTCAGAGCGGCCCTATCACTGACATTAATGTGGGCACTTCACGGATAAAGTGAGAGCAGGCTTATTAGGCTAGATGTAATGGGCGTTCTAAGGGGAAACGGCCATATGGAAAACTCGTGTCATTATTGGGTGTGACTCCCGTAAACAACCTCCTGCTGGTCAAGTGCTGCATTGTGGGTAATCTGCTGTAAAAACGTCTGCTTACTGACTAGGGATTTGAGTTACTGCAAGCAGGGATGACTGGTTATGCAACCTCTGTGCTATCACCTCTGCAACCTCAGGGGGATGGTGTCATTGGTGTGTTAGGGTGATACAAAAGCACTTTAATAGGATAGGGAAATAGAAACAAATAATAAAATACTACTTAAAGGTGGGGTAGGTAAGTTTCAGAAACTGGCTCGAGATACACTTTTTGTTATATTCCATGGAATGCTCTTAACATCCGATAGCAATGAATATCTTAAGTGCTTTGACAAAAAATCCATAAAAAAATGTCATCAGTGGAAGCCGTGGTACTGTAAAAAGTACAACCAATCCATTTAGCCGGCTGTGTACTTTCAAATTTTAGTGCACTCGAGCCGGTTTCTGAAACTTACCTACCGCACCTTTAAGTGCCAATACTAAAATGTGTGAAAAAGGGTGGCGAAGAAGAAGAAGAAAGCAGTGCCAGCAGTAGAGGAGTGAAACCAATCAAAGTGTGGGCTCCTACCGTGTGTGTTGTCCCCGTCAGTACACTGAGCATGGGGGAAGACTCGGAGCAGGGCCTTCAGCACCAAGGAGAAAGAGCTGGCCAGCAGGGGCCTGAGGGTGGGGGACAGGGCTCGGCCGGGGGGGGCCAGTGCCCTCTGGGAGGCGGGGACGATTGTCCTGATGGCCTTGCTGAAGTCGCAGGCCCCCAGGACGATGGAGGTGACATCCAGGCTCAGTTTGACGCTGCTGCCGTAGATCTGGGGGTAGCGGCGGCGCAACGCTGCCAAGGCTGCCTCTGTGCAAAGTGCTTTGATGTCTGCGCCGCAGTAGCCTGGATGCAGGTGAAATACACTGGTTATTTGTTTGCTTTGATTATAGCTTTATTAAGGTTGTTTTAAAATGGCAGAAGAACTGGAAGGTTACATCAAGACACATTTTTAAAGACGCTGCGAACTGATTTCTAAGATAGGATACAGTTCTATGGACAGACTTCTCTCTTACCGACGCATCTTTCTGCAATTTCATCGATGAACGGCTTAGACAATTTGGGATTCCATTCCCGTGTGTGGATCTCCAAGATGTGCTTTCTGGCCTTGGGGTGTACAAAGGAAAAACAAACAAAGAAAACAGAGTCAGTAAATGAGGGGGCTCAAGTCCTGCAAAGCTGAATAAGAAAACATGTCAAAAACAACAATGGAAACTGTCACAGTGGCTGCCAATACTAACACCGAAAAAAATGGTAATAGAATTGGTGTTTTGCATTAGACAGAATAAACTAAACAAGCGTGACAGTTATACCGGGAAATCAAATCATAAATATCGTCATTACAATTTCAGCATAACGCGCCTCCACAGGGATCCCCTTTGATGAGCAGGCATTCAGAACAAAGTGGTCTTTTTCTCCAATCAAGGGCAACAGTTTATCATATCTGCCTTTCTTTACAAAAGACACAACTGAGCCAGATTTCTTGCAGGTTTCTATCTCTATAAAAAAACAAACAGGAGGGAGCTGTTCTTGAATGTGTCGAGAAGATTGGTATTTGTACAAGAGAAAGTTTTTTAATCAGCACACTACAGGTGAGCTTAACCAGCAATGGCCTGCAGATTAGGCTTTGATACCAACCACCCTACTGTGTGGTGCGAGGCGACACATTAGACAGACTCTATGGAGTAGAGTCACCTTCATCGAGTTGTTTATTTGCGTCAATGTCACTTTACACGCGTTTTGTGAGCAGCAGGGAGAAAATACATGTTTCCCCAAGCACAGGAATAAAGTCATCAGACCTGCATAGCAATATTATTTTCTAATGAGCATCTGCTTTGCCGCTTGCTTGTTGGATCAAAAGACCGGACACCGAGGAAAATACACAGTAGAGGAGACTCAATAGCCCGGGGGCGGCATGGACTAATTCTTTCTGTCGCAGAACTTTTATGAGAGAAACACCAATTACCTCTGCATTATACTGAGTCTCCAGCTGTGCGTTCCAGCATTGTATGTGCAGTAAGTGCTCCCTATAGACTCAATTGAATTCCGTTATCTCACAGTTGGCCAGGATATACTGGAGTCTGTGGTGCAACTACAACTTAGCAGGACTCCACAATGCGATCATTTAGTGGCATTTTGCAACCACTTAGAGGCAGAAGTACATTTTGACTGGGTGCAGAGTGTTTCTAATGGGTGCAGCTGCATGGCTATTCTGGGCCCTGCGAAACACAGATAAGAAATAATGAAGGGGATTACCGTATTTCTTTAACAACAACTAAAACACAGCCACTTTTATAACTGGATTTTAGCGGTATTAAATGTCTGTAGGCTACATCTCAAAAAGTAGAAGAATAACAATGAATTTATTTTAAAACAGATGTAAAAAGAAAGCTTGATCAAATAAACTAAATCAGAATGTAAAACTGGCCTGCTCAAACGGTCCCAGTGTTGAATGGCCACACAGAGGTTACATTTAAAGGGCAGGAATCTAATCTGATGTCTACTAATCTCCCTGTTTACTTGTTCTGTAAAGTAATGCATTTGTTGATTTATTATTTGGTACGTCCAAAAACGCTTTTCATGAATATAAAACAGCACATTGTTTATTTAGTTTTATAAAGAAAGCTTTATCACTAATAAAGATACGATTGTGTGATGCATTCAATGTAACATTTCAGTAGGGAGCTCTTTATGGAAAGAGGTTTTCTGGAGCCCTGCTTAGGTCAAACTGCCCTGGCTCATTTTGGACATGCGGTTTTTCAGGTATATTAATGCATAGTTGTTGCCCCTACACTGAAAAACACATCTTCCGTGCAGGGAAAACAAGTTTTTCAAACATGCTGTTTACGATATTGACGTTTCACTCTCACCTTCTTGTCGGGCAGGTTGAACAGAAACTCCCGGTCAAAGCGCCCAGGCCTCCTGAGTGCCGGGTCGATAGAGTCAAGTCTGTTTGTAGCACCGATGACAACTATCTCCCCGCGACTGTCCAAGCCGTCCATCAAGGCCAAGAGTGTGGACACAATAGAACTGGACAGAAGGAATGAACGTGTGGATATTTAGACCCCAAATACTTTACCCAGATGATATTAACAAGACTCGTGAGCCAGTACGGAGCAAATAAACAAGACATTATTCCTGCAAGTAGAACACAGACCTGAGCTATCAAACATGCATAATTAACAAACCGCAGGGGGTGAAAATATCAACCGTTTCATTTCTGTCTTGGCTACAGCTCTATCATGCATGTATTACCCAGTAGGGCAGAAAAAGGAGAGCAGCACGTTTCATATTGGGAGTAAACTTTTTTTCCAAATGATATTTCACAGTTACAAATAGTCCTTTATTCACAGGGATACATTGCGAGCCGTGTTTGCATAATAAGATACTTCCTCCCCTGCAGTTCGTATTGAAACGGTGTTTCTCAGTGGTTGAATTCTTGTGATTTTACGATATTCTATTGCTATGGATACTCAGAGCCAAATAAACTAATTGAACTGAGGTGTCACTGAATAACTCAAATCCATTTCCAGCCAAATCATTTAAAATTCAGAGCTGCAGTCCGAGTAGTTTTGAACAGTTTAGAGCAGTTAAATAAAACCTGCACCACCTATTGGCTAGTCGAGTTACAGCAAGATTAGAACTGCAGATGCAGACGTGCCAATGTGTGCAGAAGTAACAGCAGATGCACTTTCAGCACTTTCATGTATGTGGGGGTACAAATAGGGTTTCTTTTTCAATCAGCCTTACCTGTGTATCTGGTCTTGCCTGCTAGAGCGAACAGGAGCCAAACCATCAATCTCGTCAAAAAAGATGATGGATGGCCTCATCAGGTAAGCCTAATCAAAAGCACACACAGGAAAGGGTCAAATCAGACAGAAACAAATGATATTAAGCTCATTGAAAAAATATGTTAAAGCTGTCTGGGTTCAGACACAAGAACATTTTCTCTAAATAAGTGACAAAGTAGTATGATGCATATGGCTCAGGGGATTAATGCGCTGCTCTCCCAATCAGAGGGTCAGTCATTATGTCGAACAATCCTTGGTCAAGGTACCTAACCCTAGATTGCTCTTATAGGCATGTGTACGGTATTGAAGTGTCAAGCTAAATAACATAACGCTAACAACTGCTGAACTGAAAATAGTTCTTCAGCAGCCATCAGTTTTTTACATTGTGAAGTCAATTCAGGTCAAGTGACTGAAGCTATGGTTACAAGGATACTTCCCCTTAGCAGTGTGCTGGCTAGGTGTCTCAGTAATATTCAATAATCAGTTGCTCTTCATCATAGCACAGAAAATAGACTTTAAAAATGTCACAAAGTGTGTGAGGTTACTCACCTGGTCGAAGAGCAGGCGTAGCTGGCGTTCTGATTCCCCGACCCACTTGCTGAGGCAGTCGGCTCCTTTCCTCATGAAGAAAGAAACCTTCTTGTCTCCCTGGCTACACTCATTGGCAAGCGCCCGTGCTACCAGAGTCTTTCCCGTCCCGGGAGGCCCGTAGAACAAACACCCTCTGAAAGGGGACAGGAGAGGAAATGGAAACTGTGTTTTAGTGGATAAACAAAACATAAAAATGTCGACCTCAAAACCAAATAAAAGTGACATTCTTCGAATAAACACATCTTGGTTTTTCTCACCTGGGGGGCTGAATCTTAAACTTCTCAAAGACTTCAGGATAAAGCAGTGGGAACACAACCATCTCTTTAAGTGACTTGATGTGGCTACCGAGGCCTCCCACATGGTCAAATTTCACCTGAAAAAAAAACACAGATTTGTAATCTAAGATATACATTCAAACAGTAATTGACTCAAAAAATGACAAGTCTACTTTGTATCTTTGTGATGACTTAAACGGTGCTGCTGTACAGATTTGTATTGTTAGCATTTCTACTTACTGAGCTATCAAGATTCATGGGATCCACGTCAGCCAAGCTGGCACCCACTTTCACCCGATCACGCAGCACCCCACTAGACAGATCTTCTCCAGTCAGGTTCATGGGCAAACATCTGTTGGAAAGAAATGTTTAACATTTATTGTTAACATTTTAGATCTCAATTATGCTAAAGGTCATGTTGGATCAAAAGAGAGGAAGATGAAAGGGAAATAATAAAATGTAGAACAAAGAAAGCAGCACCTGTTCCTGGCCCGGGTCATGCTTTTGCCTTTTCTCCGCTCGAACCGCTCTTCATCAGAAGACGAGGTGGTGTCACTGCTGTGAATGGCGTGTTTCTTGACTCTGGAGAAGTGTGACAATCTAGATTTAGTATAACACCATTGCACAGTCATGTTTCTGAAGGTGTAAAACATTTGTTTAATAACCACAGGATGTATTATCCATATCCAAAGGCTGCTTAGGATTCAAACATATGCAACACATTTAGAATGAGATTTCACTGCTATTTGTGTCAAAGTTTCCACCAACCTTATATGGCTTCTTCTTGCTGGGGATCTGAGGGTGTCAAAAAGTGAGGGGTTGCTCTGTTTTCTGTTCACCGGCTCTGAGAAAGCAAACGTAAAAAAATGTCACACACTGAGCCTTCAAAATTGTTAAAACATGATATAACTAGTAGAAATCATTCATTAAATAAACACATTCCCTAACAGAGCTAAATTAAATGTATCTTTTATTTAAAAAAAAAAGAAAGAACAGCAATTACCGATAGGTGGTGCCTCATATCTCTGCACAGCCTTTCGCTGCCTCAGGTTATACCGTCTGTCATTGTCCTCCCCTGCTTCTTCTGCTTCATCCCCTTCATCATCTTCATCCTCTGCATCCTGCTCTTCTTCCTCACCGTGAGAATCTGAAAGTCCCACAATGCCGTTTTCAAACCTCAGATACCACCACATTTGAGCTGTTAAAAAATCCATTCCACGATCACTAAGCAATCCATTTTCCATCGTTCTGATCAATTTCAGTTAAAGCCGAGTTGGTTTATTAAGTTTTCATGATCTAGCTCTTGCTCCACTGATTCAGACGAACAACATTAGTAGGAACCTGACCTTCCGTTCCTTCCTCCTCTTCATCCTCCTGCTCAGTTTTACTCATGGCTTTGTGGTGTGTGGGCATGCTGAAAGTGCTCCTGCGCATGGATTTCCTGCGCTTCACCCGGGAATACATGTCCATGTTTTCCTGGAAAAACAGGGGCATTAGAGTATCAGTTATATTCAAATGAGATGATCAGGCAGTGAAGCCATACGTTTCTATCTTTAGGTTGGCCGTTACAGCAGGGCCACACTTACCTCCTCAGTGTCTCCTGTCCACATGCGGAGACGCTCCACCTCGCGGTTCTGCCTGATGCTGCTGATGTTGTCCATTTCCTGAAGGACAGCCTCGGCAGTGCTGCAAACACACACAGAGAGAACACAACTCAATATGACAAACTAAAGGCACCTTTACAGACATGCATTAACCATTCTTTTCTTACAGAGGTAGAAGATTGACAGTGTCTAAAGTGCAGTTTTTATCTTTTTCGTAATTCTTGTTCTATGATGGTAAAAAAAAAAGAGCTGTCCTCTGAAAGTCCAATGATCCGTCAATTTACCCCGTAGTAGAGCCATTGATTTCATGTTGTTGTAAGTCAGTCATTGTGCATTAAATTGTATATATTTTTTAATAGCAAGACGACTGTTGTTGCTTAATCATGTGAACATTGTTTCCCACAGTCAGTTGTAAAGGCTCTGGACATGAATGGTGATGACACGGAAACAAATATCACACGCACAAAGCACGGTAAACAAGACGAGGTCTGTGTTTCAAGATGGGTCGGGTGGTTTGTCGATATGGCCGCAGACCCCTGACGCACTGAGCAGTCCGCCTGGTCGACAGTCGTGGTGGAAGTAGGGGTCCCCGTCCCTCCCTGCAGGGAGAGAGGGCACAGCGCTAAGTCCACAGCCCCGGGGAGAGGTAAAGTCAGGGGCTGACATAGTGTCAGTAAAACTTCAGCCAGAATCAAAAAGGTTCTGATTTGGGCATAGCCCTGTAGTAAAGTGCTGACTCTAACTTGGGGGTACTCCCAGTGAAATTATGTGAAAAGCAGTGTAGGACTTGAAGCCTCACTGTTGTGGTGTTCAATAATTGATTAATATTTAATTACAAAGTGTGCTTTCCATAGGTAAGCTTTGTGAAGGATGCACACCTGGACAATAACCAAACAAAATATATTTATATTATCTTGGGATTTATCACACTTTTTCTTCACTATAAGAATTCAATTCCATATATTCCAATATAGATAAAGTATGCTTATACCATTTAAGTCATGCTTACTTCCTGTTTCTCTTGTGTAAGGTGAAAGAGAGGTGTCAGTAGTGTGACTGCTAGCTACCTGTTGACCAGCTGGTCGAACAACAGGCTCTGATTGAGGTGTTCGAACTGGCTCTTCTTCACTCGGCAGCTCCTCTTCAGCTCCACATGTCCATTCATGTGAGAGTGATCCCCCACTCCACGCTCCTCATTCCGGTGACTCATATGGGCTACAGTGTCAACAAAGAATATTCATTGTTATTTATTTGTATACCTCCGAAATCACGTGATCAATGTATGGCTTTTCAAAAAAGGAAGAAATTGAAAATACATTACCGTGGCCATTTTGCATGATGCGAGAGGACAACCTAGAAAACACAGAAACGAGTTCAAATACGCATGCACAAAATTACATTACAATAAATATCATGAGAAGAATGAGATCTGACTTTACAGCCAGTGACAGACAGCCGTCTAGAGTAAACCTTGCTTATTAAAACTTGGTACAGACAACTTTGTCATCACAATACATTCATATTTCTGCCAATGAGTATAAAGTCTCAAACTACACAATTATTGTGTGGCACAATATTATACATTCAGAGTTACTTGAGAAAAGGGAAACAAAGGCCAGGAAATCACCTGGTGTGGTAGGTGGGAATTTCCCAGCTGACCCTCTGGGCCTTGGTCTGTGGGGACGGAGAGGTGTCGCTGGAGCTGGGCTCAGAGGCCGTCTGCCGCCGCGTTCGCTTGGAAGGGGGAGCCAAGCGCGGGCTGCTGGGACTGCTCACATCACTACTGGGCTCCTTCTGTTGGACAACCACAATTCAAACATGACAATCAGAACATGTAAACAACAGAAAAAGGTGACACCTCATACATTGACAACCTTTGACAACAATTAGCATTAAAATATAAATCCAATCAATCATCAAAAATCAGTATAAAAAAATATGGTATGTGTGCTATAGCAGGGGAAATGTAAATGTTACAGCAAAAGGGACAGGGCAGATAAAAGGGAGAAACTAAAATGAGTACACTCACATATAAAGAGGCAAGCACATATGGTTGAACATAAGTAGCAGCATGTAGCAAACACATATGTCTTGAAGTAGCAGTAAACAATAATAAATTGTAAGAAAGGATATATTGCACAGTGTTACTTCACAAGTGTTGTTAAAGTCGTAAAGCCAGAATATTTAGCAAATAATAGGCAAGTTTAAATAAATCAAGGTAAAAATGTAATCCAGGAAAACATTAAAGCAGGAGCAACATATCAAAATACAGTGTTGTGCTGAGACAAGACACCTTGAACCCATCCTCAATGTACTCCCTGAATCACAACAGAGCACCAACCAGACACATGTCCTTGATGCTTACGCCCTTCACAGTTTAACTTCCCCCTGATATGAGAGCATATCTCACTGTTGTCATAGGCAACTGTCTGCAATGCCTGTCGAGGGGTTTGTCTCTCTGACAGACTGGATAGATAGATAGATGCAGACAGACTTAAAAGTGGCCATGGTCTCAAGACAGGAATGAGAGTTTAGTGTTCCAAAACAATCTGCATTGAGAAAGTGTAAAGGTATCACTTTCAAGTGTTACAGTCACTGAACGCTAAATCATGTGTCCTCAGTTAGCCCTTCTTGCGACACGCAGCCAGGACTGATTCCAAATCTGTAACCCTAACTTAACGAGAAACCTTTGCGAAGCACGTTAAAACTCAAGAATGTTCTTGTGGCAATACATGATCAAAGTAGCATGCAACACATGTGTTAAATGCTATAATATTGCGGAAATACGGAGCCTCTTGTCTTGCGTAATCTCAATGTTTACATTTTAGAGACAAAGACTGTCAGACAGCTAGTAGGTCAGGCGATCAGAGCAATAACATAAGCGATACATTAAGGGTGCACTTCGAACACGTAGACAAATAGAATTTGGTATAACGTTTAAACCGAAAATGTGAACATCCTGCTGTCTGTGGGGCATTGGGGCATTTACATCAGAAAGTTCACCAAGTCCAGACTTGCTAAATACGGGACTTAAGCCAGCCAACTGTTTGGAACCTGGGACTCCCTTCCCCCACTGTAAGCTAGTTGTCGGGCTAGCTATAACCTACAGACGCTAGCCAAACTAAAGGTTTGTCTTTTCACATTTGAATAAAATACTTAGCCAATACTTCCAGCATGGTGTAATGCTTATGCCCTCGTGTACAAATACAGTTGTCTTTTTGTAGAGGGCTAGTTTGTGGAGACAAAGCTGAAACAAGTCAGCCGGGTAAAATTGCCAAACACAAAGGGAACTCAACTTGGGGCTAGCCAGGAGTTAGCGTCGCTAGCTTGTACTTTGACAGCTGTGCAATGCGTTCAGTACAAATGACACGCTTATGAATAACTGCATGCAAGTCTTTTATTGTGTATCTTTGTGACTGAGTGGGTGTCAACTTTGAAATTGCTTTTACTTTGCTGTAAATAGCACATAATGTTGGGCACCTTGAGGCCACAGCTACAGCTAGCTAGCCAACTAGCAGAGGCAGCTAGCTCACCCGGCAAAGAAAAGAGACCGGCTTACATGTTCCTCAGAGTTCATCTCGGTTCTCGACGACGACCTAGTCCTCGAGGATATGAAGAGATCGCTTCCCGGCCGTGAGCTTTTCCTTGTATTCACCATGTTTTTTCCTTTTGTCTGCCCTTACTGAATCTTCCTAGCCGGCTACAAACACTGCCTCAGTGAGCGCAGCATCGAGGCGCCATTTCTCTCTCCCTGTCTATCTATCTCTCTCTCTCTCTCTCTCTCTCTCTCTCTCTCTCTCTCTCTCTCTCTCTCTCTCTCTCTCTCTCTCTCTCTCTCTCTCTCTCTCTCTCTCTCTCTCTCTCTCTCTCTCTCTCTCTCTCAAGTGGATGTGGGTCTGACTGTTTGGCAGGTGCAATAACATTTGCTGACTCGACAAAACAAGCACAAAAACAGTAGCCTAATCATCATAAACATACTATAAATATCACAGAGACCGTTGTAATTAATAGAAACCTTGTGTAAAGTTATTATGGGTTATAATGTCCAATACACAGTAGGGGTATTTACAGTGGACACTGAGGATACAGAATTCCATAAAGTTAGGTAAAGTCTTTCATCTTTGTACTGCTGTAACACAAAATATCCCAAAAGGAAGTATAAACCGAAAAATAAAAGAATGAAAATAATACATTCAACCTTTGTAAAGTTGAGTACACAGTGTTCCCTTCAGAGATGAATATCAGTGTGCTTTGTCTTCAGGGTTTAGAGATTGCATTCAACATTTAAACCCTAAAAATAAGTCTACTCATTCTCTATCATCTCCAAAATGTGTAAAATATATATGTATATACATATAATATGACTATGATAGTCTATTCAGACACTTGAACCCCAGTCATTAACTTCAGAAGTTTGGAAATATAATGAAAAAGTATTGCAATGACTTAAATAAAGTATTTGTCGGCTTTCCCAGAGACACACTTGTTATTACGACTATCAAACATTGTCATTCTTTAGTACAACCTTATTGCATGTGATCTAAGTTAGGAAAATCATAAGCATCATGTTTCACTCTTGCAGTTTTAAAAAAAAACACAATATCTGTCAGAAAGATTTTACATTGTTGACCAACAAAGACTATCTGTTTTTCGTTTTGTTCAGTCTGCACTAGATTTGGAACACTTGAAGCCTTTAATCTCACTCGGTTTCCTAAAACGAAAAAGGCACATTTAACCAGGGTCGGCGTCATGGGGGGTCATTCGCGGGCCATGCCCCCCCAAATGAGTCACTGTGCCCCCCCAACGCAGGGTGGGCAAGCCTTGTCACTTTGCCGATTTTTTCTTTTTTTTAATCATATAGGCTAAGTGAAAACGTTTCCACTAAAGGTTTTTTGTGTGAAATACATCAGAAATAAATAATACAAATATAAAACACAGCCTGAGGTGTGCTCACTGCTGCTCTCTGATTGGTGTGTTGCTTGACCAATGACCCCCGACCTTTTTTTTGTTATCATTACGTGGCTGTGTGTTTAGATGAAAGCCAGGTGGCGATCTGTTCGTCTGTTACACTGATTATACAGTAAAGCCATCAAAAATAATATGATGTACAGTACAAGTACATGGGTCTCTGTGTTTCATTCAAGCTCTGTGTGTGTGTGACACGAGCGCATTTTGTGAGTGCGCGAGCGGTAACGTGGAATGTTGTGGTTAGCATCTGGTTAGCTAGCTATGCTAACGGCTTTAAAGGGCTGTTTCTACACCAAGGTGGAGGACAGTCCTCTCCTGTCAGACTGAGAGGATCTTATAACCTCAGCTCAGTGAGGTAAGGACTCTCTCAGTGTTTAGATAGTTCACTTTAGTGTAGGTTATCTCAGTGGGTCTCAAACGGTTTGGTCACCATTTATGTAAGTATTTTCGAGGAACACCTTTATATGATCATTATAGTTATTAAAGAGAGACTAAATGAAAAACGGGTATGAAATACTATAGGACAGTAACACAAGAATACAGTTTAAAGGGGAGTTATTAGTGCAATATCCATAAAGAAAAAGTAAATCTGTGTACAGTTCTGTTTCATATGAATGCTGAGAGATGTAGGCTATCCATAGATCTCTTCATTTTGCTCTCAAAGTGCACCAGATTGATGCATTTAACTTCAATATTTTAAAAATAATCTTCCCGGGGGAGCATGCCCCCAGACCCTCTGGTTAGGTCCACCCCCACCTAAAACATGTTCACATGGATAGGATACTAAATACATTTGCACACTTTTTATATGGTGGCCTATGTCCATATCAAATCAAATCAAGTTTTATTTATATAGCACATTTTTCAACGATTTTTGGTCGAGCCAAAGTGCTGTACATATAATAAAAAAAATAACCTACAGTAAAGACACTTTACAGCAAATACAACAGCACAGTTTGTGCAGAATATCAGTATGAGAAAACGACACCCTCTGTCCTTATATGTTTCTGTTTTGGTGGTCGTGCCACAACCGTGCATGTATGCACAAGTCATAGGTGCACTATACAATAGCACTACACCCCTGCAATGTGTGTGAAAGACAATAGACTTTACAGCATGTTTTTTTAAATTGAAGTTGGTGTTTGTGTGTTGGTTGTTGACGGCAGTGTGTGCCCCCCCTTGGTAAATGATTGCCCCCCCATTCAAGTTGTTCTAGAGCCGACCCTGCATTTAACAAATGTGTAGTTTGCCAAGAACTTCCTGTTCTCCTCAGAACCCCTATGGGATCGTGTGACTTCAGTTTGGGGAGCACTGCTGAAACCCAAACCTGTGTGTGTGTGTGTGTGTGTGTGTGTGTGTGTGTGTGTGTGTGTGTGTGTGTGTGTGTGTGTGTGTGTGTGTGTGTGTGTGTGTGTGTGTGTGTGTGTGTGTGTGTGTGTGTGTGTGTGTGTGTGTGTGTGTGTGTGTGTGTGTGTGTGTGTGTGTGTGTGTGTGGTGTGTGTGTGTGTGTGTGTGTGTGTGTGTGTGTGTGTGTGTGTGTGTGTATGTTGCTTGTTCTATTTCTGGCTTGACTGAATATGCAACTGCGCCAGCCATCTGTTTCGTGATTTTTGTTCAAGCTGTGTTTTAAAAAAAGCACGATCAAAACTATTTTTATTTCTATTCCATAAAACATTTTTTGTCTGTGTTCCAAAAAATGGGCTACCCCCCACTGATAACTAGATTTAAACCTGTTATAATTCTCGAATGTTCTGCAACTATAGACAACACCAATTGTAATGTTTTTGATGCTGAAAATAGTTAATTGGTAATATTTTGTGTTGATTTTTTGAGAAACAAACAAATGAATCCATCCTTGAGTAATACTCTTCAAGATAATGTGTGAATATAACACACAATAATGGTTAAAATAAATGATTATTATATATCCCATTTAAAAACAAGATATCTTCTGCCAGGGAATCCTGGCCATGAAAAACAATCATATAAGCACTAATTAATTGCGGTTATAATAGCCAGTGGTAATTATGGGGCATGGCAATGATTGTCCGCACTGTCCCCTCACTGGAACACTTCACCACCTGAACACATCTTTATGAAAAGTTATATATGGCTTGTTTTACATGAGGTTATCTTATACATCTAAAACTCAATCTGACACTGATCGAATGGGAACATTAAGTGATAATAGACATAGTTAAAAAAAATCAAATGGCAGTCCAATAAAAGTGCAGTGATGTACAACCAAAATGTGTATAATACTAGAATGATGATTTTGAATAAAGAATCTACATAGGATTGTTAACCTCTTAAGCCCCACAGAGGATGAGGACATACAGTCCAGATGTGCAAATGTGTTCTCACTGTACCACTGATGCACTATATATATTAAGAAGGTTATTGCAATGCTATTAGGGAATCACTGTAAAGAAAGAGGCTTATGATAATAACACACATAATAACTTAATTATTGGTATTACATAACTCGTGATAGTGGTGTGTAAATGCAGTGTAAATTAAAATTGCCATTAGGAAAAACAGAGAAATATAGATGGATACAGAGATAGATACATACATAGATAGATAGATAAATATATAATCAATTTATATTTCAATTGCAAGACTGCTGAGCTCAGCGGTACAGTTTCACTACGACAAGAGGAGACGACGTACGGCACTACTACGTCACACACGTTGCTCGGCAGCAGAAGAGCCACTGAAGGAAAATGTATGGCTGGCTGCAGATGTGTAGCCCGGGATTAACCGACAAAACACAGACTGGTAATCATTATTTGACATTACCAATAATACGTGCATGCAGATGAGCATCTACAGTGTGTATGTGTGTGTGTATGTATATATAAACCATGTTGTTACGATACACAGCAGGTCCTGCGTCGTTGGCTATGTGCGCAGCCATGTCTTCATACGCCCACTTACGTAATTAACGAAAACGCTACATGCTGCCTGGCTGTTTATCGATATGTTATAAGATAGAGCTCTATACAATTGACTTGTGAATGCCTTTGAATACATTTTATAATAAACCATTGAGCTAATAAAGGTTTCCTCGAGATGTATTAAATATGCTTTTAAAGCTGTGATAGCTAGGCCATATTGTGACGTTTGTCCTGTCCACTTGTTTTATTATAGATGGAAAACACACAGAGGCCTGAAAGAGATGGACACTGTGGGGGATGAGAAAGATGAAAATTGGTAGGTCACAACAAATTGCTAATTATTTTTTCCTTAAAATCCCTTATATTCAAATCTTACTTTACCTCTATGTACTTTACTTACTGTTTTACCAACTGTTTACATACATGTATCTATATATATGTATTAGGCATATTTCACATTTACTGCAGTCCTGTTGCCTTTACATTTATTTGTTACATTTTGTACAAATTACTTAATTTAAAATGTTTTACACATCTTATTTACGTTTATGTTTACACCCTATATTTTAACAGTATTTTACGTTTATTTTACGTGTGTCATTTTCCTTCTTCCACTTAAATATTACAAAAAAAACTTAGTTGATGAGCATAGTTGGAGCAAGCCTTACATCCAAGATGTTCATTGTCAACAACTGCTTCACTGTATTTTTAGTCATATCATAATACAAAATGTAAAACTTTAATTTAATGTCAGGGTTGCTATAATACTTTAAAAACCTGCACCCTTAACCAAATGTGGGGGTGAGAAGTCACTAATGCAATGTTTCTGTACAATAAAGCCTGTCACTGCAGGGTGAATTCAATAATACATAAAATGACCAAATCATACACTTGTCTATTTCT